TATATTACATAAATTTTGAAGGATTTCTCTAGTTTCAGATTGAATCATGTACAAATGAACTTTGTGTGACATTAAAATCATAATGCTGCCTTCTAATTTCTTTAAAATGTAAAGTCAAAGTAGAAGGGGATCTCCTACCAGCCAGCTGCCAAAAAACCCTACAAAACAAATCAAAAAGCAAAGTGGAAGGCGAGGGCAGATGATGTAACACTGAAAAGATATATCTTCATTTATCAAGAATATTTAACACTATATGCACATTAGCAAAACAACATTACTAATGAACAGACATGGAAATAGCTTTATTTAGAAGCAGACAAATGATTATTTAAGATTCTACCGGTATTCAAAGCTATGATTGAAATCCTAAAGAATAGTGAGAATGAGGTTTCGGTCTTGCTGAGCATGACTAAATCCCATACAAACATTTTTTAACAAACTGTCTCTAAGTCTCAGCACTAGGATAATGTGATATACTTACTTATATTCAGAGCACTGATAGAAATAATAGCTATTATGGAGTGGTTTGTACACTCAGACTAGAAAAAGGCATGGGGCTTCTAGCTAATCTTAAAAGCCCAGAGTGTATGCTGGAGACAGGATTCAAAGGATAACCATTTCATCACCCTCAAATGTGTGGATACCTCCTCTAATAGGGCTTTGGTGCCCCGCCTTAGGGATACAAAATGGTGTAAGGAATGATACATTCCCGGAAAGTAAGGAGTTTCTAAACTAATTATGGAAGCAGGACACATAAGATAAATAGCAAGGAAACACACAAGTAGAAATGAGGGAGGGGCAACTTACCTTGTTCAGCAAAGGGAAAGCTATGAGCTGGGGTGGACCCAGGAAATGGGAATTCCAAGCTGGAAATACTATTAGCTACTGATTATTTAGTGCTTACTTTGTCTTGTCCACAGGTACATCTCCCAGCTTCTAGAATAGTGCCTGCCACATAGTAGGCACCTAATAACACTGAATGACTGAACAAATGTGCAGAGAAGTGTTTTAGCACTTTGCATGTACTCTCCAACTAATGTGAGTAGTTACAGAAGCAGAACTCCATGTAAATGAGAACAATGAAAAGGACTGAAATGCATCCTATTGATTTTATGTAGCAGGCAGGAGGAAGCCACTGTAGGTTTTGAACAGTAAGGTGACAAAAGCACAACAGTGGTCTAAGGCAGTGTCTCTCAAACTTTATTGTGCATGCAAATCACTTAAGGATCTTGTTAAAATGCAGATTTTGATTCAGGTCTGGAGTGGGGCCTGGTAGGTCTAAGAAATTCCATTGATAGTAATGCTGCTGAACTGTGAATCATCATATTAACTAATATTTGAGACATCTTGTTACAAGTAACATTCTAAGGAATATTAATGTGCAAAGAGATGGGAGAGGGGAGGGGTGAAAATAATCCAGAGAAAGGAATGCCAGTTAGAATACAATTATAGTGGGCCACATTTGTGGTGATAAGAGCCTGTGGCATTGGGAATGTTAAAGAAATAGACAGGAGAGAGGGAGAAAAAGAAATTATAAAGCAGTTAGAAAAAACACTAGAAGTCATCTAATCCATCCTCCATCCTTTGGAGTAATTTTTTACAAACTCCTGGATATATCGTCTCTGCTTGAAAACCTCCCATGCCAGAGACTTACTACCTTATCAGGGAGCCAATCCTACCTGTGGATAACTCTTATGACTCCATTTTCTTTTGTGTGTCCAAGTGATTGGGAAAAAGAGTAATGTGTCAATACAGAAACAGGAAAGCTCAGAGGTGCAAGTGGTTTTGGTGGAATGATGAGTTCAAGTGTTTAAATCATATTGAAGTCAAGCAAACAGTTATATATCCCAGGAAGAAATGTATAGCTTTCAGTTAGAAAAGAACTGTTGTGGGCCGGCCTGTGGCTCACTCGGGAGAGTGCGGTGCTGATAACACCAAGGCCCCGGGTTCGGGTCCCATATAGGGATGGCGGGTTTGTTCACTGGGTGAGCGTGGTGCTGACAACACCAAGTCAAGGGTTAAGATCCCCTTACCGGTCATCTTGAAAAGAAAGAAAAGAAAGAAAAGAAAGAAAAGAAAGAAAAGAAAGAAAAGAAAGAA